AGAAAATAAACAAATGGGATTATATCAAACTAAGAAGCTTCTGCACAGCAAAGGAAAAAATCAACAGTGAAAAGACAATCTACAGAATGGGAGAAAATATTTGCAAATTATAAATCCAACAAGGGATTAATATCCAGAATATATGAGGAACTCAAACAACTTTACAGTAAACCATCATCATCATCCTCATCATCCAATTAAAAAATGGGCAAAGGAACTGAATAGACATCTCTCAAAGGAGGACATACAAATGGCCAACAGGTATGTGAAAAAATGCTCAGCATCACTAAACATCAGGGAAATGCAAATCAAAACCACTTTGAGATATCATCTCACCTGAGTAAGACTGGCTATTTCCAAAAAGACGCAGAATATCAAATGCTGACAAGGTTACAGAGAAAGGTTCCACTGTTGATGGGACTGTAAATTAGTGCACCTGTTATGGAGAACAGTATGGAGATTCCTTAAATAACTACAGATAGAACTACCATATGACCCAGCAATCCCACTACTGGGTATACATCCAAAGGAATGGAAATTATCATGTCAAAGGGATACCTGCATTCCCATGTTTATTGCAGCTCTATTTGCAATAGCCAGGCCATGGAACCAACCCATATGTCCATTGATGGATGACTGCACTAGGTAAATATGGTATATATACACAATGGAATACTATTCAAACATAAAAAAGAATGAAATTCTGCCATTTGCAGCAACATGGATGAGCCTACAGAAAATTATGGTAAGTGAAATAACCCAGGTGCAGAAAGAGAAACACCACATGTCCTCACTCATAAGTGGGAATTGGATTAATAAATAAACAAATAAATAAAGAGAGAAAGAAAGAAACAACAATCACAAAAATATGTTGAACTTTTAAAAGGAGAGAATAGAAATGTGGTTACTAGAAGTGGAAAGGGGAGAGGGGTGAGAAATTCATGAAAAATTGGTTAATGGACACAAAGAATGATTATGTATTATAATGATGAATAAGCTAACTATCCTGATTTGACCATCACATATTGTACACAACTGCTGATAGTCAACTTTGTACCCCACAAATATGTGCAATCAATTATACTTCAATAAGAAAAAAGAAAGAAAAAAAGTAGTTTAGGAACACTAAACAGTACTTAAATTGCTTGATTATAATCTGCTACAAACAATTTAAGTAAATTTCCCTTTAAAAGAAGATCCGCTTTTGATTCCGTCACACTTTCTTGCTTTTACTATTTCTCAGCTGCCCTTTACAGCCAAACTCCTTGAAAGAGTTCTCTCTACTGGCCTGCCCAGCTGTTCATCAAATTTGATTCCTCCCTTCCTGACCTCACAGTCTGAGCTTTCTTTGCATTTAGATCTAGCCATGTGGCTGAGTTATAGCCACTGGAATTTCAGCAGTAAACCATTTAGCCAATATTTAGGAACACACCACTGGTATTCCATAAAAACCATCATCGGTTCTATATAAACCTTTCAAGCATGTTCCTCCAAGCTTATTTTCTCTTCTAGTTGATGCGGACAGTGTTTCCCAAGATCCATGTTGGAAATGGCAGAATACCATTGGTATGGTCCCCGGATAACTGAATTGAATGTTATGTCCAACTGCCCTCCAATCTCGAGCTTCTCTGGACTGTATAAGAAATAACCTTCAATTGTGTTCATTTGTTACTGTGTTGCCTTAAATCCCCTCTTCCATTTTCTCTTAAACTCCCTCCAATCATCACCACTTCACTAAATCAGCTATTAACAAAGTCACCAGTGAGGGATCTCCACCTTGCTAAATCCAGTGGTGAATTCATAGGCCTCATCTTACATGATCTGCCTGCAGCATTTGTCAGAGCTGGTCACTTCCTCCTCTTTGAAATATTTTCTTTACAAAAAAAACAGAAAATAAAAAATAAAAAAATAAAAGAAGAGGTGCTTTGATTGGGGCAAAAAAATAGCAATGGGGTCTCCTGAGTAGTTTCTACAAGCTACAAGTCAATCACGGTAGTCAAAGCACACTATAGAAGGCCACTTTCAGTCCATCACCAAAACGGTCTCTCAGGCCAGGCTCAGCAAAGGGTTGCTAACTTTTGCTGCAGCTGATGATTCACCAACTTCCCACGTCCTAGGCCCCATCATGGCCTCACTCCCACTATCTTGCCCTCTATGATACAGTTCCATATTTCATGACCGAGCTATCATGATTCACTGTCTGTGTGGCAGGATTTGCTAAGATAAGATAATGGCCTTTCATGTGCAGGCACTGTGAATTCTTCTCCACCCCTTGTACGAGGGAGGCAATTTAAGTGGAAAGGAATAAATTGCTGGATTTAATACAGTGACCAAACACAAAAGCCTAATAAAAATGTCAGAAGTACATGCTCTAGAATGGCAAAGAATTGTGGAAGCATATTAAATGATGTAAGCTGTGCCTTAGCAACCCACATAAGGACACAAAATGATGAGATTAAACCATCTACCTCAATTGCTTCCTACCATTTTAGCAATTTCAGTTTGTAACAATTTTGTAGTAATACGGTTTTATTTGTAAATTAAACAAAACCAAACAAAATCTCTTTACACACACAGTTGTTCATGCATACATGCACACACACACACACACACACACAAATGTGTGAACATATTAAAAGGAATTGACAAATGTATAAACAGCAGTATAGAATAGGCCTCTCTTCAGTCTTTCATAAATAGAGTAGATACTCCACAGCACAGTGAGGAAATAAAAATCGGTACCTATGCATAAGCACTTAGACATATTGATTGAACAAGTTTACTGATTGCTATCCTCTTTAAACTTAAATGCTATCAAGGAAGAACAAATGCTAAGATGTAAAAAAGATAAAGCTTCAGATACTTTCTGTAGCTCAATTACCATGAAGAATGATTCAGTAGGCCATTTCACTTCTGCAGTTTTTTCTTCTGCCCATAAACATTTGAGGGCCCATGACATGTGAACACCGATCCATGGTGAACAGAGATAAGTATGCCCAAGGCCTCAGGTGTGTACAACCTATGGAGCAGATTTTGTTAGTAAACTAATAATCATAATGTAAGTATTAAACAATTTTAGTAAAATGCTAGACTTAGTCACAGCAGCATATTTTTAATTTGCTGAGTAGGGCTTATGTATTAATTGTGCTATTAAAAAGTAAGCAAAAACCTCAGCATATGGGAAGGTGTCTATTGTTTGGTATTGAACAGTAACACAAGGGCAGGGGTCCTATTCCCCAAACAGGGTGGTGCCACCCTCTGAGTGACAGTGGTCCCTGCTGAGAGGAAGTAAAGCAGTGCCCGACTGGTAGCAAAGCGAGGCAGGCTTTCAACATCTCAGGTGCAGGACTGGAAAGATGGAGAATTCCGTGAAAATGGAGAACTCCATTAAAACAGAAGAAGGAAAGAAAGAAAATGATTTGAAGATGACAGAAAATGCATGGTTATTTCTCCTCAACCAATTCAAGACATTCGATTTATGAATAAAAGTTAACTTTATCAGAATTCCGCAGCAGATGCATTACATCACTTAATCCTCCCAATGACTCTGTGATACTGATACTTTAATTACTCCCATTTTAAACAAGAGGACATTGAGGCAGAGGAGTTAAGTAACATTCTCCATCACACACGCAGTAAATGTTGAGCTAGGATTCACATTCTGGCCATCTGTTGCAAAGCCCGCATTCACTCATTCAACCCATATTTCTTGTACATCTCCTGCTACTCGCTACCTTTACAATGCTTCTAGCTTCTATTTTAATTGGGAGAGACTGACAACAAGGTAAATAAGTAAAATATACAGGATGATACATGATTTTGGAGCCTAAGGAGAGAAATAAAACAGGGAAGGGGAAAGGAAAGGCTGGGGTACTCTCCTTTATGCAGAGGGAACATAAACTATTGCAAAATAGATTATTTTAAGCATTTAATAAAATCCAAAGAATAAATGTGTTTGTAAATATTGGGTATAATTTGATGTAAATTATTTCTATTAAACCCATTTAATATTAGGCTTTGAAGTAGTTTTGTTTGAGTTTTAATCTAGGCTTGTGTTCCTTTTTTCTTTGATATCTTTGCCCCCAATATTTAATATAAATAAAAATTGGCAGTCAAAGAAACATGCTGGGGGGATGAAGAGAAGGGATAGTAATTTTTAGTAATGATCAGCATAAGTGTCCTGGTGAGAAGCACCAACTGGGAGTATTAAAAATGCCATCTTTGTAGATTTATAATGCTGTTTTGCCTATTTTTACTTCCCTGTCTAATCCCTCACATCTAAGTTATTTTGTCAGCTAGTTCTAGAAAAATGGATGTGGAACAACAATACTGAACAAATTAGCTTTGAGATTTTTTTCAAAGTCCCCCAACCATCTGCACATTGTGCATAAAATGCTTTTGGCCCCAGCATCTTCTTTGTAGAGTGAGCAAAACTCCTGAAAGTTTATATCCAGCTTAGAAGATGCTCACTTCATTGAACAGCAGGTGCTCCACAAAGGACTTCAGGTGTTTCAATGTCAGCAGCAGAGAAGCAAGAAAGAATTAAGCCACAAAATATTAAAGTCATTAAAATGGTAAGTAGTGGCTGTGTGTGTGTGTATGTGTGTGTCTGTGTGTTGCATGCAACAAATATCTATAAACAAATACCTAAAGTAAATACTGGTGCTAAGTTAATAAAAATTGATACAAAAGAATCTGTGTTTCTCTATCTGTGGAGGTAACAACAGAATTCCAAGTCCATTTTCAAAGGTGGGTTGGGAGGAACAGATTTATCAGGCCAATGCACTATAGAAAGTCATGCACCTGACAACAGTGGTACAAAAAAATAATTTATATCTGAACACACTATGTCCAAAACAGATTCTATTTTAAGGAAATCTCAATCAGAATTAACATAAAGTATTCATTCTTTGGAACAGCTAAAGGCTGCTCTTGCTATTTGGATTAACTGGTATAAACAGGAAGTGGCCCTATATAGTCAAATAACTTTGGGAAACGAATTTTAAAAAGTTAAAACAGATTTCTTTATTGTAGTATGCCTTACACATTAATACACAATCGTACATGGCAGTCACCACAGGGGATATGACTTCCATTACTTCCCAACACATTTGACCACAGAATACTTTTCTCCTGGATCACTAGGGAGCACATTTCAAGAATCACTTCTTTAAAATAAAATACAATATAAAATTAGTATAGCAATAAATACAAGGCATGAGAAAAACGTAGGCTTAGAATTAGTGAGAAGAACTATACTTTTAAATATTTGAAACTGAATCATCTTATAAAAATACAACTAAAATAAGTATCATGTAAAGGATATCACACAGAAGACTTTAAAACATTTATTTTAAAATAACTAAACCTCTATCAAAACATGTTCACCTACATTTGAATAGTGTTCTTCAACCCAGGAGCAATATCTGGACTAGACTGTTGTTTTGTACCACTCTCCTCTCTGTAAATTAGGGTATGGCTTCTAAATGGAAAGCAATTGAAGAATAGCATTTGTCCATCTGAATAAAATTCAGGTACTTTTAAATTTCACTTTGCCCCACTTTCACATTTAGTTCATGTTCATCTGATTTTGATCTAGTACCTTATCTGAGGGCAAAAGAGTGATATCTGATGACTCAGAAAAGAACAAACTACAATGTTGATGATACAGGTAATAATGCCTGCTGTGTATGCTTCATTGTGAGATTGACAGGAATTCAGGAAAAATGCTTGCCCAACCCCCCCTTAGGTAAAACTCTTGCCCTGAAATATGATGATTGATATACTTTGTAATTTTTAACACAATTATTGTAGCTACAAGTGTTATTCTTGTTCATACAGCTTCACTTTTTCAAACACATTATTTGCTGCAGTAATTACCCACAGTCAACTAAATTCCAGGGGATTACACGGTGGGTGGGGAGAGGAATAAAGGTATTTCCTTTTATCAAATGTAACTATGTTGCTTTCTCATACCCTCATGTTCCTGTGTAATAAAAGAAGAATCCAGGGTGATCACTTGGAGTACCTGATTAACAACTTTCCATGAAAGTATTCATTAGGTGTGGAATTCATTCCCTTAAAGAAAGGGGAAGAAAACCACACCAACTCAGAGAGCTGCTTGCCTCTTAGAAATACACTCCAGATCCCATTTGCCTTCAGGGTATTCAGGTTCCATACATTCTGTTCTCCTCAAAAGGTCAGGAAAATTAATTGTCCAGTGTGCACAATGCATTTCCTAGGGAGAATTACAAAAAATGATGGTCCCTGCTTTTAAGCCTCTTAACAGAAAAGATAATAACACAAATATGAACATATAAACCCTCATCGACAAACTCCATTATTCTCTCTAGATCTGCCTTGTTTGATTTTTAACACATTTCTTCATGGTACCATTAGCGATGTTTGAGAGGAGGTGATTATTGAGACTACGTCAGTAGTCCACCACTTACCTCCTATCGAAGTACTATTGAGTATCAAGATAACCGCTTAATAACGCATAACCACCAAATCTTCTTTAATCGCTTTTTTATTATTATTTTGTTTTTGACATAAGCCTTCAAATAATTCACATTCAATAGCAAAGCCATGCAAAACCTAAGCAGGCTATATTTATCCAGCAAAGAAACTGCCTTTACTTTTTAAATTGCTATTAGGAAAGAGCACAATCTTGAAATCATTCATCCACAACCTAATTTTCTAATTCCTTCTTTATTACCATGAATAAATTTACCATTATAATCCTTTCAAGTTCTGTGATCAGTTCCCTATAAATTTTTGAAAAAGAGATAGAACAAATCTTAGATATATTTTGATCTCCTCCCCTTCCCTCAATTATTTCTGAACATCCCCTAGAGGCTTGGAGGCCTTATGCTAAATTCTGGTAATGTGATGGTGAACCAACACCTCAGGCATGGTCCTCTCTTATCTGACCTACAACATGTTTTATAAGTTTAGAAACTGATCCTCAAAAAGAGATCAAGTAACTTTGTTCAGCGTCTGCAGCTAGTGACCAGCAGAGCCAGAAATGTAACTAGTAGAAATCTTTTGACTTCTAATCCAGTGTTCCTTGAGCACCACAACATATGTAATTCCAAATTCAATCCATTGTTAGTGTCTTTCTCAGACTTAATTTCTGTCAGCCATTAAGTCAAAAAGTATTTATTGACCAACCTGAACTAGGCTAGATATGTGAAACAAAAATAAATGTAAGAAAGGAGTCTCTGCAAAGTTAACTCACGTTATGATTAAAGAATAATATGTGGCAGCACATTATGTAAGACAGAAAACAATACTAGTCGTTTTTTTTTTTTTTTTGTCTTTTGTCTTTTTGTCTTTTTTCGTGTCCGGCAACGGATCGCAACCCTCAGTGTTGCCCCCGTACCGGACCAGGGACCGGCAACGGGATTGCAACCCTCGGTGTTGCTCCCGCGCCTCACTCAGCCAGTGAGCGGGAACTGGTCTGTATGTGGGATCCGAACCCTTGGGCGGGAGCGCCGCCGCGCTTCCCAAGCGGTGCACTTATCCAGTGCGCCACCGGACCGGCCCTACTAGTCGTTTTAATAACAAAAACAAGCACAAAAATAAATCCATAGTATTCACTATCTGCCAACCACTGTACTAGGCCCTGTTCACTGAGTGAATAATTTACTCCATACAACACTTCCATGATGTATATTTTATTACTACCCTCATTTTACACAAGGAGAAACTGAGGCACGGGGCAGGCAATTGAGTGACATTTCCTCCAAGGTTACACATTAAGTGATTCAAACCCAGGCACTCTGAGTCTGTACTCATAACCACTCCATTGTAAGAAATGATTATGTGAAGGTAACTGAAGCAGTTGAGAAAAGTTTGATAAAAGAATTGAGGCTTATATGAGTAGGGTAAACTATGCTTCTGTCACAGGACGCAAAGAGTCCAGAAACGTGCTGGGAATTTCCAGGCAGCAGCAGCAGCAGGGAAACCTGCTTGCCTGAGCAGTAGCATATACGAGGGTGCTTCAAAAAGGTTGTGGGAAAACAGAATTAAAAGATAATACAAATCTTTTCAGGAACTTTTTGAAGACCCCGCGTATGCTGCCATAGCAATGAGAAGATTGAAGTGGTAATGTCTAACTAGATTATGGTGAGTCTTCAAAGCCAGGTGAAAGAGTTTGATATAAAAGGGAAGTTAATTTTAGTTAAACTAATCACTGCCCAGCAGAAGACAGAGTATTTCTAGATATCTTATCTCCCAACCTCAATATATAAATTAGTTTATTAGACTAACTATCAAATATATTTTTTATAGCATAATTGTATATAGAACAGTTATACCTATTTTTTAAGAGATAAACCTGGACACTTTATCAAAAATGAATACTAGAATCTTTTTTGTTTCTAAGCAGAGATTCAAAATAACTAATGCATGAAATTTTAACACTGACTCTCAGTATAAAAGCATAGCATTGCCTTTCTTAGTATAAAAGCAACACATTTATCTATGTTAAGTGAAATTTCCTATAATTTCCCTAAATTCTTATTCTTTAAGCATTTGACCATTCACAAAATGTTTGTGTTTCTCTAGCTCTCAGTATGCCCGTCTCCCAATCTCCCCACCCCCCAATACACACATCACCTGGCAGGCTTCAAATATCAGTTGGTATAATAAACTATATCATTTAGAATATACTGGCTATACAGTAACAGGTTTTGTTATTCATCTCTTTCTCTTTTATGCTTTTAAACTTCTGAATATTTTGTGTCTTACAAGTACCTCAACCAAAAAGTGGATCCTTACGCAAAGGAGATAAAATTTATTTCTAGTCGTGGATTTTTGTGACTAGAAGCTGGTAGCTTTGGGAAGAAAATGGTCAATGTGGGTTAAAAAAAAAAATGAGAAAAGTTTTTCTGAAAAGCTGAAAATTGCTAAAAGTAAGGAGAGCATATAACATCATACCACATGCCTATATAATGCTCAGCAGTGTTTTGTGAATGAGAATATAATTCTTGATTCAAAGCAAGGCTTTCTTTGAAGAGATTTTAATAATATTCAATTTTTCGTGCGCTCTTTCTCACTCAAATAATACAGAAGGTAGGTTTTATCCTGAGGCATTTGAATTTAAAATTAAAAAAAAATAAAAAGCATTTTTTTTTTTTGTTTCAGTATGAATAAAAACAGCATACTTAGATTTTAAAAATTACATTACAATAGCATGTTCATTTCTGGAAAAATTAAGAAAGATTTTACTTTAACAGCAGGTAACTTGGTAAATATTTTTAAATGTTTCATATATTTGAATATGAAGTTTCATATTCACATAAAATGAGAGGAGAAACAGATATAAATTCTAACAATACTGTTAGAAAAACATCTTAAAAGTGTTAATAAGTATGCAGTTGTTCTTGACAGTACATGTTACATTTTCCAAATATCCTCACTTTGCCACAAGACTATTTAGTTAACTGTCTCATAAAAGATCAAGAGTAAATTAAGGCATTTGATAATATCTAATCTTTTAGTAATTAATGAAGTGAATTTGAATTTTCATATTAATGGCATCATTCTTCCCTGTTGTCTATATATAAACCTCTTTCATCATGATAATAACTATCTCCAAATTAAATAATAATGTACCTTTTCCCCATAGAATTTGTTTGCCTGTGAATACCTACTTTGAGCCAGATTCTTAGAACAATGTAATTATAGTGGTAGTTTAAAAGATATAAAATGTTTATAATTAGTATTCTAAATGTATTAAACTTCTTAAGACAAACTAATTAGTAAGTTCAAATGTTTTACAGTAAAAAATTTAGAATGTAAATTAAATAATACTTACATATTAAGTGTTTACACAAAAGTGAAGAGTTTAATTAAGATGTATTTTTAATATATTAGTCTAGAAACCTTTTCAATAAACATATCAGATATTAAATGTAATTTAAATTAATATTTTAGGGATAAAAAGAGTCAAGGTTAAACTGTTTATCTTCCTTAAAAAGTTTATAATGTCTTTTGTGTCTCTACTTACAAAAAGAAATCTCAATGAAACATGGATATTAAAACCTCCCAGGAAACCAACAGTAAAAGCTGCTAAGAATTTCACAAGTTTTTTTTTTTCCCCCTTAGGTGTTAATTAAATGATCATTTAACACTGAAATGTAAACACAACATTTTCATCTCCTGACAGCACAGCCTATTATAAATCCGGGGTAATAAAAGTCTAGGTGTTAATGCTGTGAACCAAGTTCCCACAACACTCTAATATGGCTTGTCGTGTCTAAGGTTAAGCATCTAGACACAAAACAAAGCTTGCGCCTACTCGACTTCCAGTCCAATTTTCCCATCGCCCAGTGACCTAGGTAACACTTTGAGCAATAAAGAATAAATTTAATTTCTCCAGCATTTTGTGAGGATTAGGAACAATTGTTGGCTTGCAACGACTTTTTATCCTTGAATTCTTTTTCCTCCAGAGCATTCCTCCGGTCCTAAAAGAGAATTCTGATGGTTTAAGACACAGAACAAACAGAACTTTAAATTAGGCTTTTTTCAATCAATTGGAACTGTTGGAGGGGAAGCAATCAACCTTTCTCTGTGCTGTTCTCAGCTATTCACATACATCAAGCTTTAATCTTTCACTAGTAGAAGAAACCTATCATGATGGGGGCAAAGCTATCTTTTCCCATTCTGTTTCCAGACTTATTTATTTCTCCTTTTTCTTTTAACACTTAAATCAAGTTGCCATACTTAGCTGTAAACATTCATTTGGGGAATGTTTCAAGAGGCACAGATGTTCTCTTAATAACATTTCACACCATTATGTTGTACCCTAGACCACGGGTGTTGCCACAGATAGGTCTTTAGTTTTTATCGCTTGCTTCTCTGGGATTTAGTTTCTTTTTAAACTTCTATCCAAAGGTTTCTTATGTCATAATTTGTCAAATATTTTAAGGTTAACCCTCCATAAAGAATTTAGTGATGGCAATGAACTTGTTTATGAATAACAGGTAATGAGGGAATATATATCACATTTGTCTAACTGCAATGCTTATGAACTTATCCGAAATTCTGGACAAAAAATGACCCCTGGCTTACATCTATTTCATTATAGAACATTGTTAAAATTCAAAGTGCTAAAAGGTTTGCAATTTGGACTACATTTTGATATAATTTGTTGTCTAAAAATGAACTTAAAATCACATATGCAGTTTATGTAAAGATGACAATGTTCCACAGCTCAAATCATATTTACAT